GTCACAAAGATAACAAATAACAGTAATTAAGTGTACCCACGTAACAAGTCACAAAGATAACAAATAACAGTAATTAAGTGTACCCACGTAACAAGTCACAAAGATAACAAATAACAGTAATTAAGTGTACCCACGTAACAAGTCACAAAGATAACAAATAACAGTAATTAAGTGTACCCACGTAACAAGTCACAAAGATAACAAATAACAGTAATTTAGTGTACCCACGTAACAAGTCACAAAGATAATAAATAACAGTAATTAAGTGTACCCACGTAACAAGTCACAAAGATAACAAATAACAGTAATTAAGTGTACTCACCAAGCCGGTCACACACAAGTCTTGCAGCAACACCAACTCTCCTCCTCCATATTACTGGCCAGAATTAAGGTTTACACTGCCTATACACACTAAGTTACACTCACAGTCTACACTCTGAGAGTTCACACTCACTGGCTTACACTCACTGACTCTTAAACAATATTATGAGGGCGACACTGCTGCAAAACTTTTGTGAAACTCCAGAATAAAGAAAAATCCTCCAGACATTGTTGACAACAAGTTTTGTTTTGAATCACCCGAGTTAATTACCAAGACCAGAACCACCTGTGTTAATGTGTGTGGTGCGTCCCAGGTGGCGCTGACATCATTAACTTTCCTAATACATGGATGCGTATGGTCCCAGATGACAGTTAACCTTATAATAATACTAATATTTATTTCTACAAGGTATATACAGGCCTAGCTGACATCAATGATATACTACTATACGGAAAGCACTTTGTATGCAGAGCATTTCGGGCAAATTAGGTCAATTTTATCCCAGGATGCGACCCAACACCAGTCGACTAACACCCAGGTACCTATTTTACTGATGGGTGAACATGGACAGCAGGTGTCTGAAGGAAACACGCCCTAATGTTTCCACTCGTACCAGGGATCGACCCCTGGACCTCAGTGTGTGAGTTGAGTGAGCTAGCGATCGAGGTACGGGACACAAGTGTGTAGGACACTCCAGGTCTGGTGACATCATTAACTTTCCCTGGGAGATCAATAGTGCTCACAAACAATACGGAATTCACAGCACGATAGTTTTGTAAGCTTTTTTGGTTTAGGCTTTTGGGAAAACTGTATAACATACAAAATCGTTAGTTGTGTTTAGATCACACACGTTTTATGGGCACAAAAAAGTACATTATGTAAGATTTAGGCTAGGAAACCCAATCAAGTTTAACAATATCATTTATTTCCTGTTCGCAGATTTGTACCTAAAATGATAGATTTATCAATTTATAATTGCCTATTTGTATATGCCTATTTATGACTGAACACAAATAATAAAATGCTTTCTAAGATACACTTATGTTAAAGTTGGGTTTACATTATTAACCTATTTGTAACCTATTTTTACTTGCATATTTGTACCTACTTACATGTTCTTACCTATTCAGATTTACCTAATTGCACTTACCTATTTTTTATTACAATGATCGACACTAAAGCACGCATGAAAAACAGAAAAGGCACCTTATGTAAAATGTGTAAGGGGTGGGTGCATGATGGATGTATGTACAATTATAGCAACGATGCCAGAATTCATTTTGTGTGTAACAAATGCACTTTGGCACAGTTACCCTTTAGCAGTGATGACATTGATTTACCTAATTTTAATACAAATGACCCATTGCCATATATTGATGATTATGATTGTTTTATGAAAACAGGCCTTCACTTTATTCATGTCAATGCAAGATCACTTCTTCCTAAATTGGCAGAGATTAGGATTCTAGCTAACAAAATTAGGGCGGCAGTTATAACCATCTCTGAATCTTGGTTGGATGATACGGTGACTGACGACGAGGTCAAAATAGAAGGTTACAATATAAAACGCTTAGATAGGAACAGAAAGGGTGGTGGAGTATGTGCCTACATTAGAAATGACTTAGCTTACAACCCAAGACCTGATTTAAATAACAATAAACTGGAGATTATATGGTTTGAAGTGCTGCTTCCTAAGACCAAACCCATCTTAGTAGGAACTAGTTACCGCCCTCCTACCCAGGACCAGTTCTTAGAAGACTTTTCCAGAGTCTTGTCCGGAGTTGAAAACAATTGTAAGACAACAATACTGGGCGATTTCAATATCTGTTTTCAGCAGCAAAATAACGGGCTATGCAAAAGGTATAAGCAAATTCTAGGATTAAATAGTTACACTCAACTAATTAATACACCAACCCGGTTCACACAGTTCTCAGCCACCCTGACCACATACTTTGTAACCGCACTGAGAACATTAGTCAGTCAGGCGTCATTACCACAGGTCTTAGTGGTCATTTCATCATTTACTGCACCAGGAAAACCACTAGAGATAGGATAGGCCTACACAGGACAATAAAAATGAGGTCAACTAGAAACTACAGTAAAGAAACACTGGTAAATAGGCTACACAACTGTGACTGGACAGAGATGACAAGTTGCACGGACGTAAACGATGCCTGGGAAAAATTCAAAACAATCTTCACTACCATTCTTAATAATATTACACCAGTTAAAGAGGTTAGGATTAAACGAAGAACTGATTATTATTATTATTATAATCAAGGGGGAAGCGCTAAACCTGGAGGATTATACAGCGCCTGCAGGGGGGAGATGTGGAAGGCATTCAGGCTTAATTCGGGGAACTGGAGCACAGATCCAATTCCCTAAATCAAGAGCCCCTCACCAACATCAAGGAACCTTCCTTGAGGGGAACGAAGAACTGAACCCTGGATGACTACTGAGATATTAGATAATATGAAATTCAGAGACCAGCTGCTAAAAAGATTTAAAGCAAACAGACAGGATATTGCAGCACTAAATGAATTCCAAAGGGTGAGGAACAGAGTACAGAGGCTTATAAAAGGAGCAAAGGCAAAGCATTATTGCTCAAAAAATGAAGAGTATAAGCATAACCCCAGAAAGCTCTGGCAACAACTAAAACAGTTGGGGTATAGCCATAAGCCAGTAGATAGGTCTAACAGTACTCACTATCGATAATGAGGTATGCCACAAAACATCTAAGGTGGCAAATTGCTTTAATTCCTACTACACATCTGTTGCATCAACACTAGTAAGTAAACTACCAGCTGCATCAAATACCTTTAACACAGACTCTGATAAGTTTCAAACATACTATACCAATAAAGAGGTAACCCCAAACAGTTGTCAACTAGTAAGTGTATCTCATGACTTTATTCAAAAAGAACTAAGCAGGTTAAACCCAACTAAGAGCACAGGCCCTGTTAACATCCCGTCTAAGTTCCTAAAAGATGGTGCTTCTGAACTGTCAATCCCTATTGCTCACATAATAAATCTATCAATCACCACTAATAACGTACCGGAGGGGTTCAAGGAGGCCAGAGTTACTCCTATCTTCAAGAAAAATAGTAGGTCTGATGTAAGCAACTATAGGCCTGTTAGTATGCTCAGGGAGCCAAGGCCGGGCCACCACTTGGAAAAGGCCCGGGCCGGGAGAATACAGACGAATTTTAGCTGCACTTGCCTATTTTTTACACAACTGTGTGTTTGTCCAGTTGTGCTTATTTGCAATTACCTAATTTGATCTCTTGTCACAAAAGACCAATACAAAATACATCAATACTAAGTTTGGAGCTGCTCAGAAGTTCTATTCTCAAGTCATTTACATTAAAAAGAGAAACTGTCCATCTTCATTTATCAATGTTGAAGGTTTGTGGCCAGCAGACGAGACATTCATAATTACATAAAAAAAATCATTTGATGAGTAAGACAAGTGCAGCCCTTGGTATCTTTATTTATGAAACATTTTGCTCTCAATGGTTTTTTCAATGTAAATGTGTAGACTGTAAATGTTGATTATTATAATCAAAATTAAGTGCTAAACCCACTAGGGTCATGCAGAGCTAAAAGGTAAAATAAAATTTCGGGCAACTAATTAAAGGTACTCCTTTAAGAATACTCATAATACGTAATAATAATAATAACCATGTGTCCAATATTTCAGGCTGACTGAAGAAAAGTATCTCTATATCCCATAAGCCTAGTCCTTCCTATTTCAATGCATGCTGTAGGAATACAATACAGTGGACCCCCGCTTAACGATTACCTCCCAATGCGACCAATTATGTAAGTGTATTTATCTAAGTGCGTTTGTACGTGTATGTTTGGGGGTCTGAAATGGATTAATCTACTTCACAATATTCCTTATGGGAACAAATTCGGTCAGTACTGGCACCTGAACATACTTCTGGAATGAAAAAATATCGTTAACCGGGGGTCCGCTGTATTATAGAATGTAGCATAAATTTCTAATGCAGTTAAATAATTTGGTATCTACATATAGTACCCATGTATGAAACATCAATATTTAAAGCTTTAATAATAATATTCACAGGGGCTGTGTTAAACTATTTTTTTTTTTTAACACCAACCATCTGCCACCAAGGTTGGGTGATCTGACAAAGAGGAAAAACACTTTTACCATATTCATTTAATCACTGTCTAGCCAGAAGTGGATGTCATAATTTAGAAGACCCTCCAAACTGCAACATCTGCACCCCTCCTTCCAAGTGCAGGCACTGTCCCTGAATCCCTTCATAAAACTGTTACCCTGTTCACTCCATCGTTATGTAAAAAAAAAAAAAAAAAATTGCCTCCACACACTAAAACCTGTAAGGGTTATGTAATTTACATCTTTAAAATAAATTATGGCATAATTTTTCTTTTAACTACAGCACAGTATATCAGAAGGCGAAGTCAAAGGACCACATAATGTATTATAAGTTTTATTATATTCATTAGGAAGCACTGAACCCATAAGTGGGTAACTGATCAGAGGAGTAACAGTAGCAGCTTCATTTCCTGGGATTAGGAGCCCTTTCACAAGCATCAAGGCATCCCTGGAAGTGAATTAACTGAAACATCTAATGGAGAAGATTTTTAAAGATTATATATATTACGATTAAAGGGTATAATACACACATTTTGTACAAGATTTATTTTTTAAACTTTTCATCAGCAGTTCACATACAAGCAAAAAAATTGCTGATAAATAAAAACTTATGTCTATAGAAAACAGAAAATTGCATAAATTTATCAAAGCAGTTCAAGTTACAAATGGGCAGAATTATATAATTTTTAATATCAGTAATTGCTCAGCTCTTATAATAATTATTGGCTAGTAAAAACTAGCAAATATAAGAAAAGTTGTGATCATAGTAAAAACAGAACTTTGTTCTGCTCACACATGAGGAATCAATCCTACCTACAAATTCCTTGTAACCTCTGCAACTTTCAATCTGGTGAAATGGGTTGGCAGACCATTTCAAATTTTGTTGCTGGCAAAAGCCATCCTATGGACACTATGATTGAACATGCTGCTTCACTTTTTTTTAAGCAAATAGAGAAATACACTAACTATTTCCTGCCTAAAATGGTAAATCCTATTTTTTCTCCTCCTTTTTCTTATCTTTATCCTTTTCTTTATCCTTATCCTGTTGGGTGAGTGAGCCCACAGCCTCCTTCACAACCTGGCTCTGAGGATCCACACCAGGCAAGTTCTGTAACACACTCTCCAAGAAAGCTGGATCTGCCATTACCCGTGAAAAATCTTGCTCTTCCTCTTCCTTCTTTACCTGCCAAATTGAAGAAATTTTTGGGTATAAAACAAGCTGTATAATATTAATTGGAGGGAGCCACTAGGCTTCATACAGCACATAGGATATGGGAGGCAATCACAATCGTTCCAAGAAAGGGCGAAATATATCCACTTCCTTTGTATAAAGCAAGCTAAATAAAAAAAAACTAAAAATCCCCCCCCCCAAAAAAAATACGGTGGCCATTTCCCACTAAGGTAGGTAATCCAAAGAAAATGAGAAGGCAATCACTACAACCCCTTCCCTAGCACGGACATCATAATTCACATAATTCACTGAACTTCAACATACCTCTTTATCCTTCAGTGAAGCCACTGTACTTCCAACCTCCAAGACTGAATTTTCACCTAACCAGTTTCCCTAAATCCCTTCATAAATATTACATTCCTCACACTTCAATTAAATTATCCCCATTAAGCATATGGTAGCAAATAAAACCACTGGAAACTACTTGACTAGTTTCTGCAAAAAATAAAAACAAGGAATTTATAAGAGAAATTCAAACTACTTGGGTTTAAGCAAGTACAAGAGGGTCTCGCCTATTCAGCTCCCTCCTTTTGGTGTTCCATGTTATCATTAGCTTTCGAATGAGCCACTGTTTATTGTGTTCGGTGCTTACACCGCTTTTCCACTGTTATCGCACAAAGTAGAGTAAGGGAAGGGTGAATGGCACCATATTTTAAGGTAAGTATTGTATGTACTGTGTATTTATTTCACTTTTTAATTTTTTTTATGCCTTTAATGCATGATAGTGTAAACATGTTATCAGGTGTTTTAGATGCATTCGATAATGAAAAAAGTTCTTTTCTGTGCGCCGGCAACCATCGCTTACCATACGTGGCTGGGAACCTAAGAGCCGTACAAACAGGGCCCTCCTGTACACTGCTGGCGAGGAAAAAGCATGCAGCATTTTGTGTTGAGCTTTATCATGACTTGTTAAAGCTCTACACTCTGTGAAACACTGTTCAAATAAAAGCTTATTCTAGAACATGTCTTTCCTTCACTACTGTAAGATAAGTAAAGTATGCTGCATTTGTTGATACAATTTTTTTATTTTAAAATAAAGAGTGTAGTTTATGCACTGTACATTCATTCCTGTTACACGGTAAACATCTTCAAATGAAGAAGGCTTAAGTGTGTCATTGTTCTTACACATGTTACTCTTTATATTAGCCCATAATTTAAAACATGTATATTGTGAACATATCCTCAGCCAATGGTCAAATACTTTTTTTTTTTAAACACGATGGCTGTCTCCCCCTCCCTCCAACCATTCCTGGGACAACCCCACCACTTACCATCCACCCTCTTTGTCAATCTATCCCTCACCGTCGTATCTTCATGCCCAAACCACTTAAACCCCTCCTGAGCCCTCTGAATTATACCCTTGGATACCTAACATCACTTTCTGAACCCTGTGCCATAAAAGTGTTGGTCCCACCATACTCTGGTATATTCTTTTTTTTTTTTCTTGCCACACAGATAAACTAACTACTTTCTGCAGATACATCAATACACCACCCACCTTTTTCCACATCTATTATATGGTTCACTCCCTCCTCCATAGACCTATCTTGCTGACATATCCCCTCTCAAATATCTAAAAACATTAACTTCCTCCACTACTGTACTAAAAAATTTAAAGCTAGATGGTTTGAAAGCATTAAAATGTACAATGAACTTCATCAAGTTATACGGCAAGTTTGTGTGTAAGCTGATCACAGAGCCAGAAGTCACCCTACTAATTTTGCAGATATTGTCTTTAAAGGTTAGTTCCAATCAAATTCAATGCTAAAGAGACAGGGCTATGTTGAAAGTGTATACCATCAAGCATTCACATTATTATTATTATTATTATTATAATCAAAAAGAAGCGCTAAGCCACAAGGGCTATACAGCGCTGCAGGGTAGGGAAGGAAGCAAGGGAATTGGATGGCAGAAGGGAGGGGGGATGATCAGCAGGTTACAGAAAACAGCGGGGCAGGGGATAGTACGGGGGTAGAGGGTAGCAAGAGATTCAAGTAGAAAGGGCTGAAAGTATCAGAATTTGTGAAGTAAGTCAGTCGTTGCAAAAAGTCATGAAAGAGTTCCGGATGAAAGGTGGGTCCATCAGCGAGAAGGGAAGGTAAAGGGGAGAGCAGCGGGCGAAGACGACGACAGAGGTAAATTCTGCGTGCTCGTTGATAAAGTGGGCAGTCCAACAGAATGTGGCTGACTGATAATGGAGCTTGGCAATTCTCACAGAGAGGAGCAAGACGCCTCTCCATGAGATATCCATGATAAGACGAGTATGGCCAATGTGAAGACGGGAGAGAGTAGTCTCCAACCCCGACACTGGTGATAAGAAGACGGCCAGTAAACCTATACTCGGTTTAATAGACTGAAGTTGTTGGCGGCATGTAGACAACGTCTGTTGCCTATGGGGTTGTGAAGGTGGGAAGATATCTCAGCAAAATAGTCCGTACATGGGAATACCTCTATAAGAAACTGGTAGGTCATTGTACTGCTGAGCCGCGCGAGTGTCTGCCTGTTCATTCCTCTGTACGTAAACTTGACCAGGGGAACCAACAAAAACAATATCTTATGCATTAGTAAAGATGCGGCGAGCCAAAGTTTGGATAAGGAAGGGACTAAGGGGTGAGGTGTATCAAATTTTTTGAATAGCCTGTAAGCCTAAGGGAGTCTGAGACAACCACAAATGATGACACAGGCATAGAATGCAATACGGCGATAAGTGCTGTAAAGGATGGCTATAATTCAGCAGTTAATATATACTAGCTGAGAAAAGTAAATGCCCTTGTACGACGCTGTCCGGAAAACCACTGCTGCTGAATCCTACGCCGTCAGAAGACTTAGAGCCATCTGTGTACACAGCAATGGCTTGAGAATGAGAGTGAAAGTGGTCAAGAAAAAAGGCAGCGGGAAGCGACTGTAGACAGTTGGGCTTTCGATCAAGGAGGGAGAAAGAACAGACTCGAAACGCTGGAACTTCCAAGGGGGTAGGGAAAAAGTGAGTATAGGATGTACATGTACATAGAAAGGTGCCCTCCTCGTTGCAAGAGAAGCCACCAAGAGCGAATCACAATGAAGGCGCAGCACGAGCTCTCGGGACGGAGTAAGCAGGGCGGCGACATATTAAAGAATGTCTCTAATATCAGTGACCATTCTATAAATGGAAGGATTGCGGAGATCATGTGAGCGTAACATTGTAGCGCAGGCAATGGGGCATCACTGCCGATCTGGATATAAGGATGGATTACGTTCGGCCTGTCTGCATAGAGGCTTTCGACCAGGGGAAGTGCGAAAAGCACCAAAGGCATAAACGTTATCCTTCGGTGAGAATGGGGTTAAGGCTAGAGGAAGTTGCGGATCCCACGAGCCGCATGACTGAATAGATTGGTCACCATAATCAAGTTCGATAATTAAGGGTGGAATGTAGGTGAAGGAGGGTTCGAACGATCAGCTCCCCACGAAAGGATGAGCAAGGTTTTTAAGAACTGGTCAGCCGGCTGTGACAAGTTGCCTTCAGAGAGGTCTAATGTGAGGTTTCCTGGATAACCTACGACAAAGAGGAGCCAGAAACTTGACTGTAATCAAGTTCAGGGATAAGTGAGGCCATTAGAGGTACAAAGGATGATCGGGAGATGCTGAGCAGTCTAAGTGAAAGTGATTTGGTGGGTTTTGTGCTGGAAAATTTAAAAACCCATGTGTGGCTGGCCAATTGGAGAAACACGGTTCGACGCGTGCTGGAGTGTTAAACTGTAAGGAGGTGACAGTCAGCCCTGCACAAGGCAATTGCGAAGTCATCAAAAAAAAACATAGAGGGATGACCAAATATTTGATGGAAGACTAGAGGCCAAACATTAATTGCAAGGAGAATAAAGTGTTGTGTCAGAACACCATCCCAATGGGGGACACCTTCAGCTTGGATTAAAAGTAGGGGAGTGCACATTATTAACCCGACACGGAAATGCCTCTGTCAGTATAAAAGTTCTTAAGGAAGGGATGGTAGATTGCTATCGAAGGCCTAAGCGAGTGGGCTTGGGCTAAAATAATATTATACCTCCATGTTGTGTCATATGCCTTCTCAAAGGTCAAAAATATGGGCAATAATGAGCTGGTATTCGCAAAGCATTACGAACATACGTTTTCCAAGCGCTAGTAAGGGGTTCTATGGTTAGAACGTTCCCTTACGAAAGCCATAGTGACGGATGTGAGAGATGTTGTGTGTCTCTATATACCACACTAAACGTCGATGTACTAGACGTTCCATACTTTGCAAACTGCACTGGTAGAGCAATGGGCCGATAGTGGGAGGGTCTCATGTCCCGTAGTGCTGGTTTCGGAAACGGAGGAACAATGGCGGATTTCCACAGCTGTGGAAGAACTCCTTGGGACCAAATAAGATTGTTATAGGCGTAATTAGGGAACGGCAAGGGCCTTGACTGATGTAAATGTTGTAGCATACGAATATGAATGTCGTCGGGCCCAGCTGCCGATGATCGACCAAGCTGAGAGTGTTTGCCTCCAGTTCTTGAAGTGTAAACAGGCTAATTTTACTGTTCTTCTCTGAGAGATGAAAGTCCAAGGGTGCTATCTCTCTGCAGAAACTTTGTGGGAAAGAAATGGGGCATAGATGGATAGTCCTGAGAAATACGGACCAGATGATTGCCAATAACATTGGCAACATTAGTGGGATTTGCTATTATCAACACGGACACACCGCTGAACAGGAGGGCGTCAGGAGAATATTTACCAACTCAGTTTCGTTACTTTTTTTCCAGGGGGGGGATGCACTTCATAGAGGTAGCAGGGTGAGGTGGGACATAATCTCGCCAGCAAGTGCGTTTAGCGTACGGATGACTCGGGCGATGCGATCGCAAGCTTCTGTTTTAAATCATGGAAGTCGCTCTGTTGTTCTATTGTTCCGGTACCTGCCCCATGCTGCGCAGTTTCAAAACGTACTTGCACGAAGCACA